TACTGGGGCCACGGTCTCTGGGTCCTCCGGCTGGGGGTGACCTAGCGGAGGCTGCTCTGACCTGACCCAGCCAAGGTACGGGTCCCGACCACTGGCCCGCTCGGTCCCGGCCCTTACAAGGACGGCGGGCCCCGAGGGTTCTAGGGTGGCACCACTGGCCCACTCAGACCCGGCGCTTACAAGGATGGCGGGTCAGATGAGTCCCCAGGGTCCTGGCTAGCCGGTCTTCAGTTTTCAACTGGCTAGCTGGTCTTCAGTCTTCAACTCGCCCCCGGACCCGTCCAGAGGTCCGGCTTTTATACAGCTCCCAGGTGCGTCAGCCCTTGGCCACGCCTTCCCTTCCAGAGAGTTCCAGGGGGAGGTCTCGGGGGATCCCAGAACACCCCGCAGCTCCCCCCCCCCTGCTTTGGGGCTGGGGAATGTAGCAACCCTCATGCCGGTCCAAGTTACTGCCCCTGGTGGGCCCTGTCTGCTACTGCAGGGAAGTGCACGTAGCCCGTTTGCAGCGCTACACTTTGATACTGACAAAAAGGTCCCAGGATAAATGCATTATCAGTTGGGAAAATACCCTCCAAAATTAGATGGACAATAAACATTAAACGTGTGTTGTTAAGGCCTTTAGCATTCATTTGGCATTGTTTTTGCGTATATTATCAGAGGTACTGCAGTGTTTATCAAACACCTCCTTGCCTCGCGAGAGTACGGCGTTGCGCGATAAGAATGAATACCAAATGCATCGGGATTTGATTTTCATAATAAACATGCCAATACCGACAAGCGGAGAATGGCAGAACAACCGAATACGACGCTGTGGATGATGATGAAAAGAGAAGGCAGCTTGCTTGCCTGAAGGATTTGACCGGCATCATTCTTATGGGATGTCGGGAATTGACGTAGTGTGGAAGGAGCTGGAGTTGCATTGTCACCAGCCTCCTTGGTCCGAAACCTGCGATGCCTGGCTTTGCACTGTCCCGGTAGCAGTGGGTGATCACAAACCGCATCAGGACATCTCACGGGCGATGTGGATATCTGATGCACAAGTGGTGATTAAAAGACGGCCCACACTGGAAACAATGGTAACACAGAATTAACTTCGATCGGGACGATACAAGTTAATTCCGTATGCGATGACATTCTTGACTGGCCATATAAAGAAATTCGCTATTTCCATACGGACAGGAGAAGACCGACCTCCAGATTGGAGAGGGCACTTACGAGAAACACCGAGCCCCAATGGCCATACAGAGAAAAAAAAAACATCACGTTAAAATTTGCATCTGCACTTCATTCTGGCCGATCTCCACTTCGGATGATTTAAAATGATCAGTTTGATCGTCATGCAACGATAATTTGCAGAAGGTGGGAAAGGGACTGTGAACCGGAGGTCACTCGAAAGGTCACTCAGATGTAGTTCTGCGCTATCTGCCTCCACGGCCCGTTCTCGATCACGACGACGACGACACAACTGGGATAAATCTGGGGGTGGGGTAGGGGGAAAAAATGAGGCCACATTTAAACAGGACCATTTGATTTTAAAATGAAAACAAACAACAACAACAAAACCCCGACGATAACTTGATTTTTTTTGATAACTTTATTGAGATGTACATGCATTCGTAGTGTCCGTTTTAAGATCGGCGTTTGTGACGTCTCGTTTACTCGAACGCGTCGACGACTGCACTCACTTTACGCCCCGCGGCGAAAAAAAGAGAGAAAAAAAAAGAAAACCACGAAAACTCAAGACGCAGTAAGAATTACAACTACTCATGGCTTATGAGAGAGACAAGCACGACCTAATATAACAGACGACCCTTCTCTGGCAGCGACCAACCTGGGCTGTATGCCCACAAGGACGTGTCTTTCACCGGTCTTGGAGTGACCGCTTGAGCACACATGATGGCTCTCAACATCGCGAGCCTCAATCGGCTGCCCCATTTCTGGAAGTCTGGTCGCGGAGACGTCCACGTGTAAGGGATTTGGCCACGTGTAACCCAAGTTGCGCAACTCATCACGCAACTGGTCGGCGAGAAATAGGAGTTGAGGGCGATGTTTAGGAGCGTTACATGGACCGCACCTTGTAATCCATCGCCACAGTGTGGCCACGAGAGAAGACCCGTGCGAGTCTTAGGGTCGCCCACATTCCTCTAATGTGCCCAATAACGATGCAAGTAAAACGATCAGATTAGCCAAAGACGTGAGGCTGTGAAGCATGTTGACTACACGATGTAACGCAAGTTTTGTTCCTGGGTAGTAAGTGTTATTTCGTAATTGCTTATGACTCAAAAGTATTAAAAATGCTATTATTCCCCGCAAACTTAGCTTTTTGTGACCAGGATAGTGATATTTTTAAATTTACCTATTTTCCATGAGAAAACGGGCGAATTTGTGTCTTTTCGTTCACATAAAGTCAGAAAAAACCGACATGAATCAAAATTTATATGTATTTATACTAAAGTTTTACAAAAATGGCGACAAAGATTTAGAAGTGAATAGTTTGTCGAGATTATGCCTCCCCACAGAGAACTCGGTCCGCTGTGGCCAGTCCTGCCTGTGGTAGTGCCCTTGGTGTCTAAATCTTGTGTAGTGATTTTTATATTACATTAGTATAAATACATGTACATTTTTATTCACATGTTGTTTTTTATGACTTTATGCAAAGGAAAATACACAAATTTGCCCGTTTTCTCATGGAAAATAAGTAAATTTCTAAATATCAATGTCCTGGTCAAAAAGCAAAGTTTGTGGAGAATAATAGACATTTTCTGTACTTTTGAGGCATAAGCAATTAGGAAATAACACTTTCTACCCAGGAACAAAAAAATTGTTACACAGTGCTATTGTACATTATGTACATGTGTCTTGTGAGGCATGCAGCCAAGCCTAGATTAAACATTTCTACAGCATGCATTGTGTGCTACAGGCTGATCAATTAAGAATATAGGAGACCGGGTTTCGGGATCAGTGTCTTGAGACTCAGCTCCATGAGACTGGGATCTCCAGTGATATATGAAGATAAAATAGTTAATTTTTATGCAAAAAACACTAAACTTCCCTGCACAGTAATTCACAATCCAGTATTGAAATGCATGCTTAAGTGAAGACAAAATAGAACCCTGAGACCCGGTCTCCTGGAGCCGAGTCTCGAGACAGTTATTGAAATGCAATGCTTAAGTGAAGACAAACTAGCAACCCTGAGACCCGGTCTCTGAGCCGAGTCTCGAGACGCTGAGACCCGGTCTCCTGGAGCCGAGTCTCAGACCCTGAGACCGGTCTCCTGAGGCCGAGTCTCAAGACACTGAGACCCGGTCTCCTGGAGCCGAGTTCAAGACCCTGAGACCCGGTCTCCTGGAGCCGAGACTCAAGACTCTGAGACCCGGTCTCCTGGAGCCGAGACTCAAGGACCCTGAGACCCGGTCTCCTGGAGCTGAAGTCTCAAGACCCTGAGACCCGGTCTACATGGAGCCGAGTTTCAAGACCCTGAGACCCGGTCTCCTGGAGCCAAGTCTCAAGACCCTGAGACCCGGTCTCCTGGAGCCGAGTCTCAAGATGCTGAGACCCGGTCTCCTGGAGCAGCGTCTCAAGACGCTGAGACTCGGTCTCCTGGAGCCGAGTCTCAAGATGCTGAGACCCGGTCTCCTGGAGCCGAGTCTCAAGATGCTGAGACCCGGTCTCCTGGAGCCGAGTCTCAAGACGCTGAGACTCGGTCTCCTGGAGCCGAGTCTCAAGATGCTGAGACCCGGTCTCCTGGAGCCGAGTCTCAAGATCCTGAGACCCGATCTCCTGGAGCCGAGACTCAAGACCCTGAGACCCGGTCTCCTTGAAGCGGGGACTTTAAAATGCTTTTTGATACTTAAATAACATTCAATGTCCTTTTCCATTCCTGGGAAGGTTACTTTGACATTCATTGCCTTGTATATCAGTAAACACCGCAGTCAAGTGTAGACTTGGACGAAGCTTTGTGACCTTCACTCGGTCAGGATTCTCTATTGTATTTCAGATTCGAGTTGCGATGAAACGAACAGCTCGCAGTGGACAACTCCTCCAGTGAGCCACGGCGTTCGTTTACAACTTGCCATCGGGGGTGGCTCAGACAATTCACAATGGCCATATCAGAGCCACCGAGCCAGCCAGCACCACTGAGAATTCGCAATCCAGGATTTTCACCCGCGCATGATTGAGCCGGGTCCTCGTGCGTCGTGGGTTTAAACGTCTCAAGCCCGCATGCCGACGACCGGACAATAACGCAACCCATCGGCATAGTCCGATTCGGCTTCTCACTCGATTCGGTTCGAGCTCCTGGCTCCGCGGGCTGAAACGCATCGGGTGACGCGCCACGCGGTGAAACACTCTCTACGCTCTCTGCACTCTCTACGCTCTCTACGCAGCACGGAGGAGCGTCCTCCTCCGGTACGGACGCCTGTTGAAGAAGACTCCTGTCCACGTGGGGGGGGGGGGGGGTCTGTGGTGTCGTCTTTCACGCCAGTTCCCCGACGTGATGACGTAGGACTCCGCGCCTCATGGCCTGATCTCCCCCCCCCCACCCATTAGAGAACGACTGGAAAGTATTTGGTCTAAAATACAGGGTGATCCGTTTATAGATACACCACTGAAATAAATATGGAGAAATGACACGATAGACAACATTTCAATTCGGAGCCTCTACATGTCTTCCGCGTGTCTCTCTTCCGAGACGACTGGACAAGCGTGGAAGAGTAGGCCGAAAACGCCTCCTAAGGGCGCTCCCTGTAGAGCTCCCTCTAGTGGAGGCCCTTTCCACTGGCAGTGTTGCGAGCGAGCAATTGCAGGGCTGCGCCCTTGCCTACGCGCCTCTCTCCAATCTCAACATGCCGGCCAATTATTTTAACACTTTCCCCCGTAAGATACGGAGGTGTCGCTTTCGCCAAGGAGAGGCACGAGGGTGATTTTAAATCAGTGGGGGGTATCTATGACTGGATTACCCTGTAATTACAACGATTTGTAGGGCAATTTTTTTAAAAATGTTAAATATCCAAAAAATTCAAAGCGCTCAAAGGAGCTTGCGGCAAACACTCATCTCCATTGGCGACCCTGGACCAGCGGCGTGAATTCCGCATTCCCATGATAGGTGCCAGTTTCTCCAGAGGACCACCTCTGTTGACTTTCCACGAGTGGCCACGATGGTGGGAGAGACGACGGTGATGGTGATGATGGTGATGGGTGACCCCTGACGAAGACTTGATCTCGCCGTCCCATGTGCACGGTGTAGGGGGGTGGCTTGGGGTCCGGTTAAAGCTACCAAATGTTCTGGTTATGGTCAGGGCAGTTCTCCGCGGGTTCATAATGGCACCCACCACGATAAGGGATTCGTGATACGGGCAGAGCTTCCTGGGTAGACGGTGGAGCTGAGTCGTCTGTGGAAACACCAGAGTAGTGGGCGGAGCTACCTGAGCAGTGGGCGGGGTTACCTGAGCAGTGGGAGGAGCAACCTGAGCAGTGGGCGGGGCTACCTGAGCAGTGGGAGGAGCTACCTGAGCAGTGGGCGGGACCACTTGAGTAGTGGGAGGAGCTACAGGGGCAGTGGACAGAGCTACCTGAGTAGTGGGAGGAGCTACCTGAGTAGTGGGAGGAGCTCACTGGGTAGTGGGCGGAGCTACCGGGGCAGTGGGAGGAGCTACCTGGGTAGTGGGAGGAGCTACCTGGGTAGTGAGAGGAGCTACCTGAGTAGTGGGAGGAGCTACCGGGGCAGTGGGAGGAGCTACCTGGGTGGTGAGAGGAGCTACCGGAGCAGTGGGAGGAGCTACCTGAGTAGTGGGTGGAGCTAACTTTGCAGTGGGCGGGGGCTAGTTGCTGAGTGGGTGTGCTTATGGACAAGAGGGCGGTGCTGACAGAGACAGGTGAAGCCTGTTCAAGAACTCGTGGCCCTGGTTGAGCCTCCCAGACATTGGTAGTTGCAGGTCTGGCTATGAATAGGGGCTGTTGCCGATGGGGAAGACGCCTTCATTGGGAGTTAACATTCATTCTTCGTGGCTGAAATGGAAAACCGACAGTTTAAAATTAACAACGCGCGTGATAAACACACAATAAATACTCTTTGGTTCTTTCGGTAAAGGCACGTAGATGAAAAATAAACGTCGTGATTTAATTTAGTTATTTTAATTTTTTTATTTATATATATATTTTTATTTTTTCACCTACGTGACTTTACCGAAAGAACCAAAGAGTATGGATCCTTGCAGTCACGAAAACTTCAAATCTAGAATAAACACACAATAACCAACTCTCTGGTCAACCCACTGCTGGACGAGGGGCTCCCCACGCGGTCACGGTCAAAGTCGACACGTGGCCGGTTCAGGCAGCACCCGCCACTGATGTTGGCCGTGAGCGGGAATTCAACTTCGGTTTGCGAGAGGTTCGTAGCGCAGGGCGCTGAACACTTCGCCCACCGCTCAACGCCCATGCCCAGGCAACACGTACACCTCTTCATATGACACAATTAGCTACAGACCTTTACAAATTCACTGCTGGATGAAGGCCTAACGTACAATGCGCGTTGGTCACAGGTGGCGTTTGACGAAGCTGGGAAAGCAAATGGGGCACGCGGGACTCGTTCACACATCGCTCGCCACGAAAGGTTAGCGGCACATACAAAGACAAAGGTCCCCCGTGTAGCCTTAAGAGACCTTCGGGGCAAGTGCTGTTAGCGAGCACCTATGAAGGCCGGCACGACTCACGAGGGGGTGGGTGGCTATCACCACGCCCGGCCGCCTTTGTCTCCCAAGTGGTGATATTTACTACGCACTGCACCGAGTACTCAGGTTCGTAGCGCTAACAGCCTCATGTGTAAACACAGACTCACAGTAAACACTGGCATACACGCACACGCGGGCAATGCACAATGGGAATGACCATGGCTGCAGTTTAACATTTCACACATTTGCAGTCTCGTGGCAGTGCGTTCAGAGGTTTACGGTTGAAGCCCTTGGCCACACTGGTTAATACTGCGGCATGTACATCGCCGTCTGCTACACAGTGGATTCCAGAGATCCCCTGACGTGGTTTGAAAGAACGAGTCGACAATTGTGTGCCCGTCACGGTCTAAATTTGCCGTAATTGGATAATCGACGCGCGCGTTAATCCTTAATGTGGATTACTCGTAGCAACATCGCCCCCCCCCCCCACTTGCACGGGAGGGACCATGGGCTGAGTCGAACCCCGACTACTACTATTATTATTATAGGACGCAATAATTACAGATGATCATTGCATGTTGGTGCGCTGCTCGCTGCTATCCGTGTGTGGAGTTCAATTGGGGAGTAAGAAATATATAGGGGACAGCGCACCACGCCACGCGACGCAAAGCCACACGCACGCAAAGCCTCGGACACAAATCGACACAGAGCCACGGACACAAATAGTCACAAAGCAACGGACATAAATGGAACAAACGCAAAGACACGAACGACAAAAAAAAAACAAATCCACGTGCGCACTGAAACACAAACCCGCAAATTCAAACACAAAGCGACACAAAACCACAGCAACAACACATAAGCAAAGCCACACAAAGCAACCGCAGGGCAACACGAAGACGACCCCACCTGTCCTTGCCGTGTCCATCCTCAGCCACCGTGTGCTCTCCGTCTGCCTCCGCCGCGTGCACGCTGTTCTTCAGCTCGCCTGCTCGCAGCACGACGGAGGCACAGGTGGCTCAAAGTTGCCGGGTCGACTCAAGACAATCTCCCATGTCGGAGGGACTCCTGAGCTGAGACCGCCGAGGTCATGGGTTCAAAGTTCAAGCCCTGGGTCGAGGTGTTTCTCTCTCTCTCTCTCGAGGGGGGGTTCATCATGGCAAATAATTCAAGGGACGTGAGCCGACGCTGCTGAGATCCTACGTTCAAACGTTCAAAGTTCAAGCCCTGGGTCTAGGTGTTTCCTGGGTCTAGGTGTTTCTCACTTTCTCTCTCTCTCTCTCGGGGGGGGGGGGGGGGGTCATGATGGCTAATAATTCTAGAGACCGTGAGTCGGAGCTGCTGAGATCCTACGTTGAAGGTTCAAGCCCTGGGTCTGGGAGTCACTCTTGATCTCAGGGGCTTCACAATTGCTAAGTCAGAGAAGCTGAGCCAGCATTACTGAGATCCTGGGATCGATGTCTGGGTATCACTTGTTTTTAAGGGGGGTAGGGTGACGGGGAGGGGGGGTCATAATGGCCATGTCAGAGTGAGCGTACATCTGCCCGTCTGGCATGGATTTGACGAAACGCCCTCGCGAAGTTCATTAATCTTTGCCGCTCGCCCGCGGTAACGCGAGGAGTGGCTGCAAAGCAGCGGTCGCTGCAAAATCCGTCGGGAATGTTCGTGGCTCGGAGTGAGCGTGTGGTGGCAGCGGCGGTGTGGGTTACACGGATGAAATGTGTTTTGGTGGACGGCAGCCAATACGATCGCGGCGGGAGCACTCGCACACGCAGACACATTCGTCAGACCCGCTGGTGCACTTTTGCAGTGTGCGCGATAAGCAAAAACACAGGTACATTCGTCGTCATCGTCTACGGACGATGCGACGATGGACGAAGGCGAACCCCCCCTCCCCCTCTCCCTACCCCCCCGAGTCGTCCGCCACTTGTCGCGGTCCTGCGTTGCAACAATTCACCCGGCACCTGCACGCACAATCGTCGCCCCAAAATCTGCGGTCAACGTCCGTGGTCTCGATGGCGAGGCCAAACAACATTTGACCAAAGTGCGGAATGAAGGACGGCCCAAACGGCCGTACCGTGATCTACTATATACAGGGCGCTTCAAAAAATGTTGAACACCTATATGGCACTATCGTTTTTAATGGAAAAAGGACGGGTAATACGCTGTAACATGATAACAAATGTAACGTTAATAGCTTCAAACAGTCAAAGAGTCTCCCACTTGTTCGCCATCGTTGTCAACGCGTGCCTGGAATCTTCTCCAGGTGGTCTCCAGAGCCCGGAGGTGGCACATTTCTCGTGGTTGTTGTTGCAAATTCTCAGAAGTGTTAAAAACATTTTTTTAAGCACCCTGTATATATGTATTTCCCTTCTAAGGCCATACAGTGGTACTGATGGATGCGTCGGGAGTTTTGTTGTTGTTTTGTGCTCCTCGCTGCTCTTTGAGTCGCACTGCAGGAACGAGTCCTGCATCAAGGCACCGCTCTGTGTCAGGCCTTCACCTCGTTTGACATCTGACGAGTGCCCGGGCAACGTGCAACGCTGGGCCAACGTTGACACGCGGTTGGTCAGTCGTTGGCGGAAACGTCGGCCTAACGTTGCACTAACGTCAGACCAACCGCGTGTGAACATTGGCAAAAGTTGGGCCAAGGTCGGACCAACCACGTGTCAACGTTGACGCAACGTTGGGCCGATGTTGCGCCAACGTCGGACCAACCGCGTGTCCGACGTCGACTGGAGGGTGGCTTGTGTGCCATTGCAGTTGGTGAAAGCCACGGTTGGTGGTTCCGGCGGCTTATCAACATTCGTGATGTGGAGGTCACTGGCCATCACTGTAATGGAATAAGGTCCGTCGAGAGGCCGAGGTCCACATGGCGTGAGTCCCGTGCGTCCTGCCTGCTTCGTGAAGGTTGCCCTCCGTGCTCGGAATGTTGCAATGTTCAAGTTCCAGGTTAATTTTAGCTCAACCAGGTCGGACCTCAACAGCCCAGGGTAGTCGCCCATTCGCACGAGTGAATTGGTCGGCGAGTTTTGAATGAGCGAGCTTAATCTTATATCTTACTTCGTTTAACTCGGTGAGAACCGAAGAGACCAGGATGACCTGGGTCACCAGGACGACGCTGTGTATCCAGCAACGCCGAATCTTCCTGCATCTTGTCTGTCGCCCTGGAGGTTACGTGCCCGGACGTGCCGGCATGTCACCGTGGTGGTACGGACGGCAGCGTGTGGCCGGGTACATTCATTTATTTTGTCACACGGGAGGCATTCTACGTTGAGGTGGCCTACGCGCAGAGTACTCGGCCGGTGGTCGATAGCTCTCTGTTGAGAAATGAAGACATCCGTCTTGGTGCTGTTCGTTTCGTTGCTATTCCACCACCACTTCCACTTCCCCGAGCCCCACCACCGCTCGTCTGCCTGGCTTGGAGCTGCCGCGCCGGTCCCGGCCTGCTCGACGGCCTCTTGTACCGACTGTGGCCTCGTGTAAAGCAGCGTGACCTGCCCTACACGCCCGGGGTCACCGTGACCACAGCCCGCTCTGTGGATGTGGCTCAACAGTGGACCATGTGTCGGAGGGGGCCGGAGGTGGGGGGGGGGATGATGTGGCCGTCCCCTGGCTCGGCAAGACGAGCGCACCATGACAACAACAACAACAGCAGCAGCTATAACAATGTTCGGTTGCCGTTCTGACCAATAAGCTTTTTTGCCAGCCCGGTAATGGTATCCGGTGGAGCTGGGGAGGTTAATGTACATGGCTGCTTAGAGGTGACACAAAGACCTCCTGAAGAGCCTTAACAAACTGTAGGGACAAGGACTGTCAGCGAGCATCTATGAAGGCTGGAACGGCACACGAGGGGTGGGTGGCCAGCACCACGCCTGACCGCCTTTGTCTCCCTAGTGGCGATGTTTACACACCGCACCAGGTACTCATTTCAGGCTGAATCGGTTTAGGGGAGGCCCAGGACCGGTTCAGATAATCGTAACCGGTGTTGGCCATGAGCGGGAATCGAACTCGTGTGCCAGGTTCAAAGCACAGCGTAGCGCTAACCGCTACCACGACCGCTCCACCCACGCACACACAGACACAACAACAACCGCCATTCGCCACTAAGTGGCGGTGACGTCACCACGACGCTTGTGCCAGGCTATGTGCACCTTGAGGCCACGTGAAGTGTCGAACGCCCGCTGGCAGGAGGCCACGGGGCAGACCCAGATGCCACAGGTCGACTGACTGAGACGACTGGCTGATGCACCACCTGTGCCCCCTACTGTGCCAACTTTAGCCACCCGGCGCTCCGCTCGTTGTTGAGAGCATTGCTCCTCCGCCCTCCGTTGTTGTTGGAGGGCGACTGCCTCCAAATGCCCAGTAGCAGCGTCCTTCTCCACAGTGGCCGATCTTGACACCGCTGGTATCAGTCATTGGCAAGTCCACTCAGCTCCACATCCTACTGTACCACATCACTCCATCTCTTCTCTAGCCCGTGCAGCGCCCTTTTAGCCCCCTCAATCCGACCAAACAAAAGCTGTTTAGGCATGCGGTGGCTGGGCATGCGGGCTACATAGCCCAGCCAACGCAGCCTTGCCTGCCGGAGGAGCTCACCGATGGGACTTTGTCCAGATCTTTTAAGGATTTGTGAGCTCCTCACACAATCCAGCCTGGTTAAACCCAGGATGGATCGTAGGCAGGCCAGCCTAAATGTTTATAACTGGCGAAGATGTTCCATTAGGGGGTCCACGTTTCGCAAGCGTAGAGAAGGGAGGGAATGACTGTGGCCGAGAAGACCTGAAGTTTCGTGCGGAGCGACAGACCAGGTAACCTCCACGAAGCGTTATGCAACCGATAAAAAGATATTGCCGCTCGACTGATTCAGAGTGAGACCTCTGCTGTTAAACCGGAGCGGGTCATGAGCACATTGCCCAGGTATGGGAAACTCTCCACTCCCTCCACAACTGCCCTATCACCAATTGAGAGTTGTGGGGGTGGAGTGTCCGATGGTACAAAATACCCAGGCAGGTGCTTCGTTTTGATGGAGCTGATGGTAAGGCCCCACCTCTTAGTGGCAAGCTCCAGGTTCAGCAGCAGCGCCTCCAACTCCTCCTCTGAGTGAGCAGCAATTACCAGATCATCGGCACACGTAACATGGTTGAGCAATAGGGAGTCATCCCTTGACCACACCCGGGCATCGATCAGCCTCCCATTGTATCTGTACCAGATGGAAATTCCTCCGGTACAGCTATTGAAGGCTTCATGAACTACGTGGTCAAAATAGATATTAAATAATGTGGGAGCAAGAGGAAATCCCTGTTGCACCCCAAGGTGCCACGTAGTTTTTCCTGGGCCCGCTCAACATTATGAAGGTCTTTAATGATCGTGAGCAGAGGGTCAGGGACTCTGAAAGCACGAAGAACAACCCATCACCCAGGCCTTCTGATGGTATCATAGGCCTTGACCAGGTCAATAAAGCAGAGATGTAGGTTTTTGTTGGAATTCCCTACACATCTGCTGTAGCAGATGGACAGAAAATATGGCATCTGTGCAGGACCGCCCTTTCCTGAAGCCGCATTGGGGCTCCACAAGCCTCTCCTCAGCATGCCTAGCAAGGCGATGTTGAATAATCATTGCCAGGACCTTTCCCGGCACACTGAGGAGTGAGATGCCCCTGTGGTTGTTACAGTCTGTGCAGTCCTTTTTAAAGAGGGGGACCACCAGGGCGTCCTTTCAATCCTGTGGAACCCGTCCAGTGGTCCAAACTGTTGATATGATGTCATGTAGGGTAGTCTGTGCACAAACACCACCCTCCCTCAGCATTTCACCTGGGATATCATCTCTGCCCGGTGTCTTTCCTGATCTCAGACTCTGGGTCGCCTTCAGTACTTCCTCAACAGATGGCACCTCAGCCAGCCACTCACAGGAGGTAACTTCCTCTTCCAATGTTTGAGGCACCGCAGCCTCGGCAGGGTCATCCCCACTTTGTCCCATGATGTTTTC